CAGGAAGTCTAGCTCAACTAAATGCACTTACTTTTTGTGGGGGCTAAAATAAAGCATCAGTGTTAGGAGAGAAACGCTCTTTTTTGACAAAAGAGAATCTCCAAAATAATTTTTCTGCTCAAACATGGTGTAAAGTTTAATTAAAGAAGTAAATTGAGAAAGCCTTTTGGGGAGAAACAGGGGAAGGCTCTAGAAACTGCCAGTCTGAAGCAGCTCTCCCTGGAGCCTGTGTCCAGCCAGCAGGGCCGGAGGGCTGTGGATCGCCTAGCCCAGGGGTGGGCAAACTTTTTGACTCGAGGGCCACAATGGGTTCTTAAACTGGACCGGAGGGCCAGAACAAAAGCATGTACTGTTGATATTTGGCTCTGTTGACTAGTTTTCTGCAGCTCGCGAGCCACGTGTGGCTCTTTGGTCCCTTGAGTGTGGCTCTTCCACAAAATTCCACGTGCGGGCATGCACATACAGTGCAATTGAAACTTTGTGGCCCATGCGCAGAAGTCGGTATTTTGTGGAAGAGCCACACTCAAGGGGCCAAAGAGCCGCGTGTGGCTCACGAGCCGCGGTTTGCCGAGCCGCAGTTTGCTGACCACTGGCCTAGGCTAACGGGCTCTTCTCAATCAGCTCTCCTGTCAGTAGGGAAATTTGTTCTCATTCTCTGGGTCCCAACACTGACAGCTCATAAAAGGCCAAGCTCAATTTATTATAAAAGATTTTTCCTTTAGGCACATGTGATTGCATTATATTAAATATAAGTCATGTGACAAATTTAGAAAATATTTGTAAGGAAGACCCTATACTCGACCTTGAGTAGGGAAACATCAGGTTATAAGCAGAATATGCTGGGCGTCTAGACTGTTCATGAGAGGGCTTCTCTGATTCCAACTATAAATCTGGCAAACAAGAGAACTAACTAAAACATGGATCAAAAGAATCTATTTGCCCTGCCCTCCACTCACAGCCTTTTCCCCACGTCCCCGTTTACTCCTAATCCCTGTCTTCTCACGAACATCTCCTCAAAGAGACTCAGTTCATTTTCAAAACAGAAATTCCCTCAATTCTGCCATGGTATTGGCTGGTAGTGACTGCATCCTAATGAATTTAAAGCCTTAAGCTGTTTACTCAGTGAAGAAACTCAACTGTTTTCATGACACTCATGATCTGAAATACAGGTTGGTGGTATCCCAGTTTGGGAACTGTGTTTGCATTCTTATAGGCAGGGAAATTTTCAAGAAAAATAAAAGCAGTTTGGGTTTTGAAAAGCTGACACCCTCTGTAAGCCACAGTGCTCCTCCTGGAGTGAAAACAGCTAAGAGCTCACTAGCCCCATGGAGCTGAAATTAAAGGCCCAGAGGTTGTTTCAAACTGTGGTGCTATCCCTGGGACCCACACTTCCCAGATCCTTATGGTCAAGAGAAATAAGGGAAGCAAACTTACCTAACATCTCTTCCTTCAGTCTTTCATTTCGTTCTTCAATTTGCTTAGGTAATCTCTGAGGGAAAAGAGGAGAAACCGGGATTGGTAAAAAATCCCTCAGCTTTATTCTGAATTTGAGAAACATTAAAAACAAATGTGAATGTGAGATAAGGTAAAGTACAGATATGTGATATAAAATAAAAAGCAAGTCTTTGTTTGTGGGTGAGCCACACGAAGATAGGAGTTTTGTTTGGTTCACTGCTCTATGTCCAGTTTTTGGCAACAGTGGCCCAAGGAAAACCTCAATAAAGATGTGACCAAACATATACAAAAAAAAAATGTCTGAAAGGATACCTACCAGAATTTTACAATGGTAGGTATACTTAGGTGGTGGGATTATGGGTGATATTTTAAATATTTTTGCTCATTTATATATTTTTTACCTTGAAGTCCTTTCTTTAAAGAATCTAATTTACTGATTTTAAATATTTTTGCTCATTTATATATTTTTTACCTTGAAGTCCTTTCTTTAAAGAATCTAATTTACTGATTTTAAATATTTTTGCTCATTTATATATTTTTTACCTTGAAGTCCTTTCTTTAAAGAATCTAATTTACTGAGAAAGAATCAGATCGATAATGGATGTTTTTCAACCTTGGCACTATTGGCATTTTGGACCAAGACATTCTTTGTTATGGGGGTTGTCTTGTGCACTGTAGGATGTTGAGAGCAACCCTGGTCTCTACCCACTTAAGACGTCAATAGTACCATTCCAGTCATGACAATGTCTCCAGACACTGCCAAACGTCCCTGGGAACCAGATCATTCCTAACTGAGAACCACTGATCTAGATTAGAGTCTCCTCTGGTCCCTTTTAGCTCTGTAATTGGCCCCAAGTACTCTGGGATTCCAGTAATAACTATTATAAGAATTAAAATAAATTATTGATACATATAAAAACTAGCATAAAAGGCTTCCTTTCACAGAAGGCTTAAAGCTAATATGACAAGGATAAAGGCTACCAAGAATCTGGCCAAGGTTTTAAGTATTGCGTTTCGTCATGTCAAAGTTAGTTGATCTTACCACCATTCAGAGATATGTTAAGAGTCAAATAAAGGATTAAAACTGGTTTCAAATTGCTTATGTATTTTAATTATCCAAACCAGGCTGTCTCCCATTACTCCATTTCTAGATAAATAAGAGATCTGTTATTATGGAAGGAAGTATGTATAAAAACAGATCAAACCACCTAGGATATTAATGCGAAAAGATCAGTCAACACTTCTCAGGTTTGCTCGGTAGAATAATCGTTCCAAGAGATAAGTGAGAAATCCTGCAGAGCAGGGCAGACAGGAAATAGAAACAAGTGAAGGAATCGGCAGAAGGCAGTATGGAGCAGTGTGGCCAGCAGTGGGATGGGAGAGCTCTAACCAGATGGTGCATGCAGGAGTTCAAGAAGAACCCGGTATGTCCACATCTTCCAATTTTTATTTTTATTTTTTATTTTTTTAAATATATTTTATTGATTTTTTACAGAGAGGAAGGGAGGCCTCTAGTCCTATATAATAAAAGGGTAATATGCAAATTGACCCTGATAGCAGAACGGCTGGGAATCATCCACTGAGCCAAACCGGTTTCGGCACACATCTTCCAATTTTTAAAAAAATGTATTTTTATTGATTTCAGAGAGGAAGGGAGAGGGAGAGATAGAAACACCAATGATGAGAGAGAATCAATGATCGGCTGCCTCCTGCACGCCCCCCACTGGGGATTGAGCCCACACCCCAGGCATGTGCCCTGACAGGGAATGGAACTATGACCTCCTGGATCATCAGTCGACACTCAACCACTGAGCCACACTGCCCAGGCTTTCCTATTTATTTTCAAGAAGAGTATGCTTTGATTTTTATCTAGTCAAATCTTCCCATTTTTCAATGTTGACAAGTGGCCTCAATTAAAAAAAGAAACAAAAAGCTGGCTTAAACAAAACATGTCTGTAGATCCCCACCTCCTGTCTGCTGGCCCATGTTCTCCCAGGTGGGGCTCAAGACAGGCCTCTCCACCCGAACGGCTCTCTGCAGAGGGTGGCAGTGAAGAGAGCTGTTTAGTTAAAACCAGGTTTCTCAAATTGATTTGAACACCATTATTATGGGGTAATAACATATGCACATCCAATTCAGTAGTATATCCTTTAGAATATATGCTGCTCTATGCATTAGGGACAATCACAGAGTGGTTTTAAAGGTAAAGTACAAACCTGAAGTTATTTTTAAAGTGGGGAAGCAGTAACATTTACCTAATTTACAACTGACATGAAAATATTATAACATCTAGCCCAGTTGGCATGGCTCAGTGATTGAGTGTTGACCTATGAACCAGGAAGTCATGGTTTGATTCCTGGTCAGGAAACCTGCGGGCTGGATCCCCAATGTGGGTCATGCAGAAGGCAGCCGATCAATGATTCTTTCTCACCATTGATGTTTCTCTCTCCCTTCCTCTCTGAAATCAAAAAATATATATTTTTTTAAAAAATTATAACATCTAGAAGCAAAAGGAATGCAGTGTTGGGGATAAGACTAGAAGTCATTTTAAGAAAGACAAGAAGGTTAGTTTAGGATAGCGGTTCTCAACTTGTGGGTCGCGACCCCTTTGGGGGTCAAACGACCCTTTCACAGGGGTCACCTAAGACCATTGGAGAACACATATATAATTACATATTGTTTTTGTGATTAATCACTATGCTTTAATTATGTTCAATTTGTAACAATGAAAATACATCCTGCATATCAGATATTTACATGATGATTCATAACAGTAGCAAAATTACAGTTATGAAGTAGCAACGAAAATAATTTTATGGTTGGGGGTCACCACAACATGAGGAACTGTATTAAAGGGTCAGGGCATGAGGAAGGTTGAGAACCACTGGTTTAGGATCTCTTTAATTGCAAATGTGTTAGGGCTATGACAATAAGTAGAAACTTGGTGACTGAATAAGAAAAAGGATGACAGGAAACCAGACCTTCCTTACCTACAACACCAAGCCTCACTTTGGTCTGAACTGTACTACAGTGCACGAGACTGTCCCAGTCCAACAATGAAGTAAGATTTCTGTCTGCCCTAGAGACGAAAGGTTTATACAGGTAACACACTGAGAATGGAGTTTAAATGGTTAATAGTGAGTCTCTGGCTACCACTTTCAAGTTCTGTTGCCCATATATTGTGATAGGCTCCTCAAAAGTATAGAAACGGAATGCAGTTGTGTCCCAAGAATGAGTAGCAACACAAGGAAAAGAAGAAAAGGAGGTTTACCATACAAGCTTCCCTGGCTTGGTGCACTGATGGGTCTTTTTCTAGAATGGTCTTGTAGTCTTCCAGGGCTTCATCGAGCTTGTCGGTGCTCTCATATAGCTCCGCTCTCCTCAGCAGGGCCCTGATGTAACTGGGGTTTAGCTGAATGGCTGTAAAAGGAGAAGGGGTCATTGTTACCATGAAGGAAAAGGGCCTATACATACTTGGGCATATCAAGTTTCTTAACCCTTTGTATGATGTAAGAGTCTATAGACACAAGCAGGATGGTTTCTGTTTTGGACACGTGGCAATTAACTGGTTAATCAACTATCATTCAGGGGCTAAAGCAGCGGTTCTCAACCTGTGGGTCGCAACCATTGGAAAAACACATATAGCATATCAGATATTTACATTACGATTCATAACAGTAGCAAAATTACAGTTATGAAGTAGCAACGAAAATAATTTTATGGTTGGGGGGGTCACCACAACATGAGGAACTATATTAAAGGGTCGTGGCATTAGGAAGGTTGAGAACCACTGGAAATGAAGAGCCATTTGTCCAAGGCTATACCTGGGGCCAGCAAGCTTTTTCTGGAAAGGGCAAGACTAAAGATTTCAGGCTTTGCAGGACAATCTGTCACAACTACTCAACTCTGCTATTGTAGCATGAAGCAACCAGACAGTGCCTGAGCAAACAAGGCTGGTGTGTTCCCATAAACCTTTACTTACTGACGCTGAGATCCGACCTTCATATAATTCTCATGTGTCACAAAATATTATTTCTCATGGATACTGGTTTAACCAAATCCAAACACAAATCTGGAAAACACTGTCTTCCCCTTCCTCTCATTTTCCTGACATGGCTCCTCCTCTTTGGATCGCAGCTGGAAATGACTGTTGTCCAGTGTACATCCTGCTAACCAAGCTTACACTTTTCTCATCATTTGGTTACAGAGAAAGGAACTCTGAAAATCAGCAGTTTGTTCCTAATTTAAATTTTTCAAAGCCACATATCACACTCAGATTAAGGTTAAATTCCTTCTTCCAAACAAAACTACATTCAGAATTAGTTCCAGCCCAAGATAGTAATAGATCAGAAGTAGTTAGCTACATTCTAATGTAGCATAGTTTAATTCAGATACTAAAAAGAAATATAAAATACAAAGAAAAGAAAGCCCCAGTAGAGAGGATGATGAATTAATGTAAAGGAAAAACAAAAACAGAAGAGAGAACTCATGCTTACTATGAGAGTTGGACTAGACAGCATAAGGTTCTTTCTAACCCTATGGTTTTCTCAAAGAAATTATTATCTAAAGAGAGGAAAACAAACAAAAATACAAATTACGAAGAGTAATAATTAGCTAGTAAACCCATGAGTAGTAAGATGCAAGGGAAAGTGATTACGTATGTTCTCCATACCGAGCTGATTAGAAAGGTAAGAAAAACGCCCATCAAAAATTTTTTGAAAACAAAACAACAGTCATCCTAAGTCTAGGTGTCTCTAAGTTGGTGGGATGGAAAAACCCTGATAGAACTCAGATAAAAAGTGGCAAAGTCTTGATTCAGTGTGTGGAACCTGAAAGGGTAATTAAAATGATGGCAAGTAGGTTTAGAAGAATTATTACATGTGAAGAGTACCAATTCCCAACAGAAACTGCCCCTTACTCCCCCAGCCTCCAAACACACAGATCCAGATGCCCTGATAGCAGCTAAGATCTTCTGTTTCAATTTCAAAGTAAAGTAATTTGGACACTATAGGACATAAATTCTGTTCCAGCACATTCTGCTGCCAAGGTAGCTCTGAATTTTTCTTCACATATTTATTTATAAGCCAAGATAAACGGACTCAACTATCCATTCAAGAGCACACTTACACTACGGTGACTACAACATAATACCGCTGAGAAGGGCTAAACCACAAAGCTGCTTCTTTAAAGGCCTCAGAGGAAGCGGGCAGGTACAGGTGCACACCCGACCCAGAGCCTCTCTCTGCTGGTCTAGCTGAGGTGAGGCTCTTAATGTTAACAGGTAACAAGACCAAAAAGTTGTACCTTTGCTGCAGTCACTGATGGCCATCTCTTTCTTGTCCTAAAAGGAAATATAACATTAATACGTGTCACCCTGGTTCTGTCTTAATGGTCCAAAGGCTCAGTGAAAAAGCTGATCATTAATAATTGCTTATGGGGATACAGAATGCTCTTCAAAGAAAGCATACAAAAACATGCAACTTACTTCCAAACTAAAATTCAAATATGGTGACTTGAAAGTCTTCTGCTAACAAAATATTCAAGTAGCTTCTTCCTAAATATCTTAAAGACTGTTGTCATGGATGTATTTGATTTGCACAATGCTTTACGTCAAAATGCTGATACTGAGAAAACTTTGTGATCAATAAACAGGGCAATGACTAAAATATGGATAACTGAATTAATAACCCTCTTCTTTGGCTAGCTGACCCAAAGTAGGATCTTCTAGAAAGTATACAAATGGTATGTCTACAACAACACAGTGTGGCTTGTCATGCAGTCTCAGTTAAAACCTCAACGTATCCACTGATGAAACAAAGATACACAACAACCTACCAAATGAGACCCCTCACTGACTGAGCTGCTGAATCGAAAAGCATGGCACAGCGGACAGAAGACCAATGTCGAATGAACCTGACTCTTGTTCCAGCTCTGACACCAACCTGCTATTTAACTCCCCAGTTCTAAAATGTCTATTTCCCCCAATTAGTATTCTACAATATTACAGAAATGTTAGTTCAAATAAATGTTCAACAATTCTGTAATAGCTACTGTAGCAAATACTAAATATTTTGTAGACTATTTTAGAGCAATGTCTACCAAATTGAATTTTAGGATTTAATTAAAAACAGTTCCAGGATGGGGAGTGAAGGCTGAATGGGTGCAGGGTGTCTTCCTGGGGCCATGAGAAAGTTCTGGTACCAGATGGTGACACAGTTGCATAAGATTTATAAATGTATTTAATAGAACTAAACTATATGCTTTAAAAGGTTAAAACGGTCAATTTTTTTTTTATTTTATTGATTTTTTTACAGAGAGGAAGGGAGAGAGAGAGAGTCAGAAACATCGATGAGAGAGAAACATCGATCAGCCACCTCCTGCACACCTCCTACTGGGGATGTGCCCGCAAACCCAGGTACATGCCCCTGACCGGAATCGAACCTGGGACCCTTCAGTCCGCAGGCTGACGCTCTATCCACTGAGCCAAACCGGTTTCGGCAAAACGGTCAATTTTTAAAAATATATATATTTTTGTTGATTTCGGAGAGGAAAGGAGAAGGGAGAGAGAGATAGAAACATCAATGATGAGAGAGAATCATTGATCAGTTGCCTCCTGCATGCCCCCTACTGGGGATCGAGCCCACAATCTGGGTATGTGCCCGTGACTGGAATCGAATGCAGAACCCCTAAGTTCGCAAGCCGATGCTCTATCCACTGAGCCAAATCAGCTAGGGCTGTAACAGTCAATTTTTTGTCAGGTGCCTTTTACCCACAATAAACACAGAAGGTTCCAGAGTCATCTGGAAAACAAGGCATTATATCTCTTCTAATGTTCACAGCAATTCACATATTAAAAGTTCACAGAAGTCTTGTAGTAAAGAAATCTGTGTAACTTTGTATAAGTCAGTATTTCCCCAATATATTAGCTTTCTATAAATCCAGGACTCACAATTTCATATCTTAAAGTTCTGAAAAGGAGTGGCTCTTTACAACTGATGTGCACATCTGCTGTGATGGTATTCTTTGTGCCCCTAAGTAAGCCTTATTAAGCTGCAGTGCGTCTTAGGAACAGTTGACGCCTTTGCGGACCGGGAACAGTGGCCTTTTACTGCAGAATCCTCTGCTTCAGGCTGAGTCTGCTAACAGCTCAGGGGACCCAGGTGTTGCCTGCTGCTTAGAGTGAAAATCTGCAAAGTGGGGTATGTGGAAAAAAAAATCAGAACTTCTTTACCACACTTCCATAACTTCTATTAGTCTATATACATATTTAAGTCGAAGTACATAATATATAAGGAATGTAGTTTCAAAAAACTTAATCTGCTCTTTTAGGGCTCTGTCTCTCTTGTGGAGGCAGGCACAGACCTGACACTCTGCCCTCAACCGCCTGCCTTTTCTCTCTCCAGACATGAAATGTAAAGCTTGGCCGGGCACATTCAGTCAGGGATGCTAAGCCTGCAAACTTGCCTTTCAGAAATTCTTCTTAAAGCAGTGAACCCATCACCTCCGTGAATAAACTCAGAATATGGTCCTTAATTGTTCAAATGCATTAATCCTGGACATTTCCAAGTTACCAATTTTTGAATCTTCTTAAACATATCAAAGAGTGCAACTTAAAAGAACAAAACAATCACCCACCCACCCCACTGGCAAACCTATCTTTTGTAAAGGAAATGGTCACAGAGCAACTCTCCTGCGTTCTCCTCGCATGTGACAAAGACCACACATTGCCCTAACTCAGAACCAGGTGATTATACTAGCCCGAGCCTAGCAATACCAATAACTTGGCAACTGGGGAAACAAAGAATCCCAGTCCCAGGAGCCAGATGGACATGGTGCATTTCCTTTGACACTGAAGGTGCCCTCGATTCCATTTAGCAATGACAACTTCCAGTCTGAGAACGGGACAAGATGTCTCCAAGAAGCAAAAGCAAAATAGAAGAGTTTTCCAAGTTAGGTGTGAGTTCTGACTGATGCTGGATATATTAATGAGTAATGTTTAAATACACTTAATTATTTTTATTTCCCCTAATATGTCTGTTTATATACTCTACAATTATTCTCTAATGACACATGCATCACCCCAAACTACTTCACTTTGGAGACTGAATCCAATAATAAAACAAACCAAGTTCTGGTTTTAAAAAAACAACATCTTTCTGCACAACTAAACCATCCTGGATTTCCCTCCTCAGTTCTTTTAGGCAGCATACCTGGTTATCCAAAGAGACTTCGGTAGCAGCACTAGAGAATTTCAGGCAATGTCAATGAGAAAGTGACATGGATACCTGATCTAAACAAATAAAAAGACCACTCTGCCCAAGCTAGGGCTTGCTTCCGGTTGCATACAGGTATGTTACATAACCCACTCTTTGAGCTTTGGACACAAGTAGCCATAGTTAAACAAGTGTAGTGCTTTTTAAAAACTCCTTTCATTTCAATCCAGCAAAATCTATGTTAACTAAATAGGAAATCAGACAAATCTAACTTTTAATACCAACATGGTACAAAAGAAATACAACTACATTCTATTCTACATTCACCCTGCTACACCAGGTTCTCGAGCCTTTAGAAATGCAAAATGTTCCTGAACTTTCCCTGACTCCTATCTTGCTGTTAAAGACACCAATCATTCCAACTGGTGGACATTTCTCTCCACGTCATACTTTCAACAGGAAAATGAGACCCTCTGGAAGAAGCATCTAGAAATCCCAAGTTTTAACCAGTGTTTCCCTCGGGTCTTTATCTAGACTCCCAGAGCCTAAAACAAGCCGCTGTAGCTATTCCAAGCCACGCGCCACTAAGGTCTTTGCTTCATTAACCTTCCCTAGTTTGGTGGAAACTTTGCCAGTCTTTTTTCTGTAAAGTGTTCCCTCAGCCGCTTTAATGTGGAATGTTAACAGTAATCTGACTCAAGCTTTAAAAATATGTTTCTATCTTTCTTGTGCCCTTTATATCAGGGAAATATATGAGCAGGAAAAGGGAGACACCAACGTTAAGGCCCTATGTGAGTTTTTGGAGAGAAGCTATCCTACAAATACACTGCAAGTCCGTGTGCTTCTTAAAAAAAGAAAAGGTCAGTGTTGTGCTGGGCCGGCACGGCCATGGCATACTCAGCCCCATGTTGGGCGCCTTATGTGCCACGCCAGCTCCGCCAGGTTCGGTGACCCTGAGGGGGACGCTGAAGGATTGAGAAAAGACAGACTAGAGAAGAAAGCTGGGTCTGGGTGGGACGCTGTCCTCTCTGATGGAGAGCTAGCGAGAGTGCCACGGACTGCAAGCCATGCCTTTAATTTATAGCCAAATGCCACGAGACAAAGTAAGGGCGTGGTCAAGATGTTTACAACATTCTCGTGTGTTTCGATCCTACTCAATTACATGCACCTGAACTCTATCAAGCCCACATCACTCAGACATATGGGGCCACATGTGCGGACCATAGGTTCAAGCTTACAACTATAGCTGTTGGCTATAACTGTGCTGGGAGCGCTTTGCCCTCCAAGCTGGGACTTGCACGTGGCCATGAGAGGACTGTGCCCTCTCATTAGTCCGAGGTTTGAACCTGTCCAAACACAGTAGCCACTTTCCACAAAATGTCACATACCTGTTTCATCCTTGCAGCAGCTCTATTTGAAAACAGAATTGACCTGTCTTTCTGGAAGCAGGATGGGCACATTTGAAGGGCATGGCTGTAAGAACGTTCAGCTTCTATGTAATCTGAGGATAAGGTAAAAGGTGAGAGGTTATTATTTTATTCCTGATAGACTGTCTTCCATAGGATCTCAGAGTGCATAGCCTTCCAGTCACAGGACAAAGGTCTCCAACAGAACACTCCAAATGTTCAGCTTCCATATGGCTTATCAATTTAGTAAGGAGCTTTGAGAGGGGTCTGGGAACTGGACAGATGAAAGAGACTGAAGTCTGGGATTAATGGCCTGTTGACTAAAGACCTTAAAAGAGAAAGTGGTAATAAATTTATATACTCATTGCCAGACAGAATAATCAGGGTCCTAAAGGAAAATTGTCTATTCACACCTTTCTCAGGTTAGAAATACTTAATACTAAAATACAAAGAGATAAGTCTTCAAAATCAGAACCATTAGTTCTCTTAGAACAACAGAAGTGATGACTGATTAAACCAGGATATAAGAAACAAATTTTTAAACCTAAAAATAACTAGGGAGAGATGTTACTACTCCTAGATTTTTAAAGCATCTACCCTTTACGATGTGGCAAAGGCTATCATAAGATCAAACAGTTGCCCAAAGTATCGGAATGAGCCCGACTTATTCCTAAGCCTATGGAGGAAACCCAGAAGGACATGAAGAGCACCTCTCTGCTTACAGCATCCAAAGAAAAAGGCACATGAAAGCGCAGCCCAAGTACAAGCAGGATTCCTCCCTGGGCCCTGCCAGAGCCCGCGGCTGGTTTTTATAGGCTATTCAAAGTGAGGAATGGGGCCCTGGTTTTGCAGCAGTGCAGCAAAGAGCCTGTTAACATTCCAGGTTAGAGATCTCCAAAGCCACAGCTGAAGAGTTTTCCTCCTAATTTCTGGATTTATAGAGATTGGATTATAGAAAAGAAGAACTATGCCTGTGTCAAGAGACACATGGTAACTGGTCACTGTCAGCTGAGAACAATTTGAACCTGGTTAAAAACAATATTGTAAATGCTGGAAGGCAGAATGTATTGAAAGCAGTTTATTTGCTAGTTGTTTCCAAATGTTCTTTGGGGCTTTCTCCAGACTCTACGAAAGAAAAAGAAGAGTGAGAAGACATCAGTGCTGAAACTGTTCTCTTACCTCCTTTCTTAAATTGCTCATTGCCCTCCTCCTTCAGTCTAGTGCTCTCTTCTCTTCTTTTCTAAAAGAGACCAGAGATTGACAGAATTTGTCACAATATTATTGTAAGTGAACCAAAAGGTCAGCTTTCTTTACATATCAGCCTATTTAATAGGCAGCAACTTGACTTTTAAAAAAGAGTGTGTGTATGTGTGTGTGTGTGTGTATTTATATTTATATTTCAGTGAGGAAAGGAGAGGGAGAGGGAGAGGGAGATAGAAACATCAATGATGAGAGAGAATCATCAATCAGCTGCCTTCTACATGCCCCACACTGGGGATCAAGCCTGCAACGTGGGCGTGTGCCCGGACCGGGAATCGAACCTGTGACCTCCTGGTTCAAAGGTCAATGCTCAACCACTGAGCCATGCCGGCCTGGCGAGCAAGTAACTTTTGAAAATTGGGTCAGTTCTATCTAAATCTCCAACAGATATAGAAAAAAACACATAACTACGTGGCTAATCACCAACACATTCTTTTTTTTTTTTTAAATATATTTTATTGATCCTTTACAGAGAGGAAGGGAGAGAGATAGAGAGCCAGAAACATCGATGAGAGAGAAACATCGATCAGCCGCCTCCCGCACATCTCCCACTGGGGATGTGCCCGCAACCCAGGCACATGCCCTTGACTGGAATCGAACCCGGGACCCCTCAGTCCGCAGGCCGACGCTCTATCCACTGAGCCAAACCGGCCCCGGCAACCAACACATTCTTGATTGTGTTTAAAATGCAAACCGTAGGTTTCTTACGCTTCTATCTTTTGCACAGAATGATAATTCAGGTAGCATTTAATTTCTATTTATGCATACTGAAACTAAGCAACACATCCACTGGTATACACACCACTGTAAATTCAAAATCCGGATCTGGTGTTTATGAATCGCATGATCTTGGACGACTTCTGGATCTTCCTGAGCCTTACTTTCTTCATCTAAGAAATGAGGCTTTAACACTTTTATGGACTAATGTGATGATGTACATAAGGCTCCCAATACAATGCCTAGCAAATAAGTGTTCACTAAATATGAGCTATGATTTTTCTGTAAAACAAGTAATTTAATACTTACTTAGCTACAACTGTGGTTTGTGTCATGAAGGAGACACAGGTATGATGGCAGAGTGCATTGTGGGGGGCATGCCTCACCTGCAGGGTCAGGGCAGTATGCTGCCAGCAGGCTAACAGGAGGAAATTTGAAGAGACCCAGATAAACAAATCTCCCTTTTCTTAGCTTCTTCTAACAACTCAGAAATTCACACGGATGGCAGAGCACCCATCAAACTCAAAGGCCAAGTGAATGTTACTCGGCAGAGCAAAGACGACACAGGCTGAGTCTCTGTGCTTCCAGCCCCGATCATCGGGGAACACAAGCAGAACCAGCAGAAGTAGCCCCCCACTTGCTGCCTTCTGACAGTGTGTTTTTTTGTTTGTTTGTTTTTTAAAATAAAATCTCCTTCATTCTTGAGTCTTCTGACTAAATAAAAATTCCAAAGGCAGGAAACACAGCAGGACATTTCACTTACAAGAGAAGCCTGGAGCCTAAATAACTGATACTCTTAAGATTAGAAACCAAAGTGAAACTGTTATGTCTCTGGAGATTTGTAAATATGCTGCTGCGTGCTTCCCGAATGCCTTGTTGTTGTTATACTCCGGATGAAATAGAGCACTTGATGAACCTCAATAAAGAGACTAAACGGTAGGTATACACTGAATTTAATATTTATGGTCTCTACTATGTGCCAGATGCACAGCAGATTCAATAATTCATTTTAAGATATATCTGAAGGGCTATTCTAAGGAAGTAGGAAAAAAATAAAATGGGGGGTGGTGATGGGACTCAAATATAAGCGTAGAAAACAGATAGGAATCAAGGCAGCTCAGTTAAGTCAAGAAGTAAGAAGACACTAAGTGTCCTTTAGCTGAAGAGTCTGGACAAGACAGGCTTGTAATAGCAGCAAATGAATCCTAACCATTCCTCTTTCTTTGCTCCACCCAGATTCAAAGTCTGGATCAGCGGCATCAAATGAGCCAAGTGTATGTTACATGCCTTGGCTCTCACACAATGGAGTGAGGGACATTGAGTACTGTCACTCAAGATTACAAACAGAAAAATTCCTCCAAGTATGAAGGGGGGTTGGATGCGTAAGCCAAGAAAACTCCATAATAAATCTAGTTAAGAGTTATATCAACCCTGAATAGCTAAAACAACCTTGAGAAAGAACAAAGCTGGAGGCATTTCACTATCTGATTTCAAACTCTTTTACAAAGTTTTAACAATTAAGACAGTATGGACCCAGCATAGAAACACACACATAGGTCAATGGAACAGAGCAGAGACCAGAAATAAACCCAAGCATACATGGTCAATTAATTTATGACAAAGGAACCACGACTATACAGTGGAGAAAGGACTGTATCTTCAATAAATGGTGTTGGGAAAACTGTATAGCCACATACGAAAGATCTTGGTGTTGATTTTCTGAATCTGACATCAAAAGCAAACACAACAAAAGCCAAAATAAATAAGTGGGTCTACATCAAACTTAAAAGCTTCTGCACAGCACAGGAAATCGTCAACAAAAATGAAAAGGCAATCTACTGAATGGGAGAAAATATCTGCAAATCATGTATCAGATAAGGGTTGATATCCAAAATATATTTTTAAAAGCTCATACAACTTAATGGCAACCCCCCCGCCCCCCGCCAAATTTTCATTAAGAGAACCCGAACAGACATTTTTCCAAGGAAGATATACAGATGGCCAACAGATATATGAAAAGATGTTCATCATTAGTTATTAGGGAAATACAAATCAAAACCACAATGAGATATCACCTCACATCTGTTAGAATGGCTATTATCAAAAAGACAAAAACAAGTGCTGGAGAGGATGTGGAGAAAAAACCCTCTTACACTGCTGGTGTAAACTGGTGCAGCTTCTATGGAAAACAACATGAAGATTCTTTAAAAAAAAAAAAAAACCAAGAACAGAACTACAATATGACCCAGCAAGCTTCTGGGATCTATCCCCCAAATTTGAAAACATTTATTCATGTACCTCTATGTTCACTGCAACACTTATAATAGCCAAGACATGAAAACAACCTAAGTGTCCATCGATGGATGACTGGATAAAGAAGATGTGGTACATACATATAATGACTACTATTGAGCCATAAAAAAGATGAAACATTGCCATCTGCAACAACATGGATGCATCTTAGAGTATTATGCTAACTGAAATAAGTCAGATGGACTCATGTGGGATATAAAACAAAAAGCAACAAATGAACAAACAAAACAAAAATAAACTCATACTTACAGACAACGGAATGCTAGTTACCAGAAGGGAAGAGAGGTAGGGGGAGGGCAAAGTGAGGAAAGGGGGCAAAATGTATGGTAAGGGAAGGACACTAGACTTTGGGGGTAAGCATGCAAGAGTATACAGATGTTGAATTAAATGTTGTACATCTGAAATATAACATCCTATCTAATAAAAGAGTAATATGCAAATTGACCATCACTCCAATACATAAGACGGCCGCCCCCATGTGGACACAAGATGGCCTGCAGGGGAGGGCAGTTGGGGGGGACCAGCCCTGCAAGGGAGGGCAGTTGGGGGTGACCAGACCAGCAGGGGAGGGCAGTTAGGGGCAATCGGGCCAGCAGAGGAGGGCAGTTAGGGATGACCAGGCTGGCACACCTGCACCCCCCCCCCCGCATGAATTTTGTGCACTGGGCCTCTAGTTTATATAATATTATTAACCAATGTTACCACAACAAATTTAATTTTAAAATTATGAAATAATTTCAATTAAGGTTAAAATAAAGCCCTATAATTATTAGCAAATTCAGTCCATTAATTTTAACACACACATACACACACCATATATCATTGTCCAATAAAGTTCTAACAGTGAAATGAAAAGTTGGTTTCACATTAGAAAATATATCAATGCAAGGTAACAAGTTAAAAGAGAAGATACGTTCTCATGAATAAATGCACCACAGGTCTTAAATAGATTATTTATTTACTAGAGGCCTGGGGCATGAAATTCATGCACGGGGTAGTGGTGATGGGGGGGGTGTCCCCTCAGCCCAGCCTGCACCCTTTCCAATCTGGGACCCTTTGGGGATGTCTGACTGGCTCCTAATTGCTCACATGCCTGCCTGCCTGGTTGCCCCCAACTGCCCCTCCTGCTGGCCTGGTGGTCCCCAACTGCCCCCCCCCCTGCCGGCCTGGTCGCCCCATGCAGTCTGCTGTTCAGTCGTTAGGTCATCCCTCACTAACCCCCTGCTGGCCTGATCAAAGGCAGCCATCTTGTGATAGTGTGAGGGTTAATTTGCATATTACATCTTTATTATATAAGATTTTTCTTTTAATCTTTATTATTGAAAGTATTACATAGGTCTTCCTTTTTAAATATATTTTTTAAGTTATTTCAAAACCACAAATTCTTTAGAGAAGGGCAATTCAAGTTAACAGAGTTTAATGTCCATCTTTTAAGAAATTTCTATCTCTTCTACTTTAATTTGTAGCTACTTTTTGATCTAAATCTGTTCTCAAGTGCCAACTCATCAGGAATGTTCTGACTACTGATGAATCACTCAGCCTACCAGGTCAGGCTCTTGTAAAGTGAGTGTGAGTGCATGTGTGTTAAGAGTTTAATCATTCTTTAGTAAATTTAGAACATTAAGACCCCAATGGGCAAGGCACGCCCAGAAGGAATTACTGATTAAAGGCCAACCTGAGCAGCCAGCCCAAGAAAAGCTCACGGAGTCTTTATAACTAGCACCAAGAGTTGAACTGGCAGAAGGGCTCCATAACATATTTCTATGGCCATTATTCTCAGGAAGGCATTTCATTTTTTTGGCTGACCAATCACAACTCAGTGACCAATTAAGCAGTAAACACTGGAAAGAAGCCGCTGCTTCCACAGATTGTGTAAAGTGAGGATTAATGCAATTATCAATATCATGCTGAACATCTCCTTGGAAACAGCTAAAAATAGCACTCTGAAGA